GGTCAATGGGGCCGAAAAAGAGGGACATCTGTAATGCTTTCAACAATAGAGATAAATTTTTTAAAAGAGAAGTGTGTGTGGGGAGGAGGGTGAGTGCTCACATAAACATGCACACATCTTTGTCCATTGTTATAAAGACAATGAGTGCTCCTTCTGAATACCTTTTCTTTCAATTGTGACACCAGGTTATAGGTTAGTTTAGAGTTGATTTGCATTTTTCCCTTTGAGGCTGTAAATGCTCTTTCCCTTGAAACTCCTCACCTTTGTAGATCCTCAGCATTTAGTATGAAGGGCTCATCATGAAGTAATGACTTGTTCCTATGTTTGCCAATAGTAAGATTAATTTTGATTATGAGAGGGGAAGTGGGCTTATCATGAACCAAATAGCAGAGTCTTAACATGGAGCATAAGGAAATCTGCTTCTCACTTCTGGAAAGATGATCCTTCTTGAAACAGAAGGCTATGTGCTGCCTGAATAGGGGGTGCAGTGTGCAAACAGGGCGTGTGTCATGTCCATTCCTTTTCTTCTAAGTGCTAACTGAAACCAGTGGAATTTTGTGTATTTTTGCTCTTCTTTCAGATTCATTCAGAATTATAAATAATACTCAACCAATTTCTCCTGTAGGTGTAGTTTTAGTCAATTTCTTAGCAGGGATAAGAAAGAATAGGAGTCCTACAAGTAAGGCAACAGTTGAGTCCGTAGGAGGACCAGGTTTCCTGAAAAAAGGACAAATATGTATATTAACAAATGACATCCAGAATTTGCTGGAATTAAACACTAATTGACTATGCTAATAGCATACAAGTAGTAGTGATGCTAGAGATTATTTATTCTGGATAATTTCCTCTAAAATCTATGGATTTCCCGCTAAATGATTTTCCATTAAATAATTTAGTAGAACTGAAAATCTTAGGCCATGCTTCCATTGTTTCCCTATACTTCTTTTTGTTTTCAAAATCAGGTATACACATGCTGACCTACTAGGCCAACATGGCAAATTTACCTTTTAGGTAAAGCTTACAGATTTAGTAAACAACTTTTTCTTTGATTTATTTCTTTTCATTATATTGGCAGAGAATTGATGTTGAAACAATTACTAGGCTAGGCAAAGCCTCATATAATTGATTTATAACATCCAAGTATTGAATTGTGGCGAGGCATGGATGTTTCTAGAGTCCTTGAAAATGCTTCTGTAAATTGTGAAAGTGAATGATCTGTTTTCCTAAGATATAACATCTGCTTCTGTGATTATAAGCCCTAGCCATATCATACAAATGAAATAAACTCATTTAATGCTTTGCCCTATGCAGCTTAATCAAGGATATTAATTATTAGAATGGCTTATGAGAAGCTCGTAAGTGATCACTGTTCAAATTAAGAGTGATTCAGGAACAGATGGGGATTTAGAATCACGAGGCCATTTCAGCAAATAAGACAGGTTCCCAGCAGCCTCATCAGTTAAGAAGCACTGGAGACTAGATATGAATGAAACAAGCATAAATAATTAGAATTCAGTTTTAAACATCAGCAATATTTAACTAGTGACTCTGGATTCTGAGAAGAAATCCTTACATCCTAAAGGTTATTTTGCTACTTTATAACTCAGCAATGCATACATACTGTAGAAGCACTCTACTCCTCTAATTTACTTGAACTAAATAATCAAGGAAATGCATTATATTCTTCAATCTGACAATTTTATAAAGCAGTTTGTTTTCCTTAAATATAGATTTTCTTTATTTCATCGTTGAGTAAAAAAGCTACCTTGGTGTGATTAATTCAATAAACTAAACCAATATTTATTATTTCATTGTTCCTTATTTCTTTTATTTCAGTTATAAATTATAGTTGGATTTTTTGCCAAATTAGGTCAGGCACCATGTAATCTGATTTTGTTTTTATGAAAAGACACAGTGGATTCAGTCCAAGATCAAACAGATGGAATGAAAACATTAGGTGGTAGCTATAAATCTTGATCTATCATTCTAGCTTTGGAACATCTAAATGCCTAAAACCTCTACATTACAAATATATTTTACAGAAATATAAACTTAAAATCAAGTCATAAATACTGAATAATTTATTTTTCAAAAGATTTTTTAAACTAATATTATTTTATCATGTTTATTTTTATTTTAGTTTTAGTTTATCATAAACTAATTTAGGTTGTTTCAGTATTATAAAATATTAAGGTTACAGAAGTTTTATTTGCTTTTCTTTATATCTTCAAATCCCTTCCTATCTCAAACCTTTGTTCCTTTTCCTATTGTTTTCTCTCAGAATTCTAGGTAACATGTGCACCTGCTCATACCAAATACACTCTGTGTTCCTGCTACAAACAAAACATCTTCTGAATTACATTTCCCTCCAGCAAGGAACAGACATTAGAAAATTATTATATTGAATTTACTTTGGGGATTTCTGCTTGGTTTTTATTAGCTATTAGCTATTGCTTGATTTCACTTAGTTTTTACACTTTGGTGTTAGAAAAGACTCTTATCTTGGATGGTAGAAGAGGAATTTTTTAAAAATGGAAGAATTATTTATTATTTTTTATGTTGGTCTAGGTCCTATTACAAAACTTCATAGTATCATCAAACTTTAAACAATTGTTTGTTTTAAATAGCTAGCATTGAATAATTGGAGGCTGTTTTTTGTTTAGACCTCTCAAAATGAAAAATTTTAATCTTAAAGGGAACAAAAAGTTCATAAAGCTGAAGCAAACTCTTTGAAACATGCTACCACACTGCACTGCTGCATTTTTGAGCTCACTAGGAATTTGGACTCAGATTTTGCACCTTTAAAAAGTGCTGGCAATACTGGTATAACCAGAAGGCTCTGATTCAAGCAAAAGGAATTTCTTTATTTTATGTGGGAAGAATCCATTTGATTCAAACAATTTTGGTTTCTGCCCCCGAAAACATGGATTCTTGCTGGGGGATGTGAGACAGGAAGTCCAAATCAGAGATCTACTGAATTTAGAAACTAGATTAATTCACTGAAAGATAGATTGGGAACACAAATCTCTAAACCAAAGTATTTATAATGACATGTAGGATGGCCCTTAATTTAGAAAATTATGCTGTAATCTTCCCCCTCATTTCACATGATTCAGCAATGACCGATGGTGTATAAGACACAGAGATAAAATTAACTCTGACCCAGCTTCTAACATTAGTTTGTAAAATCAGATTTATTACTTAACCAGGAATTCCTTATCTAAAAAATAGCGGCAGGCATGGATTTATGGTGAATTAGTATTTAATGGACATAATAGAGAAAAAGACAAGATACTGAATGAAATAAATAATCCCCCATAGCAGTAATAAAATTAAGTTGGCAAAAATCACAGAACAGGAATTCATATCAGGTTATTAAGAAAGATTGAGTGACATTTTACATAATAGAGAGTTTTACTGCACTTTATATAGGGAGAAGGGCAACACTATTCTAAGTGCTATCATTAACTTCATTTTACCGATGAAGAAAATTGAAGATGTGACCTGCCCACAGTAAGTGCATGAGGCAGGAATGGAACCCAAGTGGCGTGGCTCCAAAATCTACACTCTTAATTACTATAGAACACAGCTTTCTTGCAGATTATATTTCTAATTTTGTAAAGATGGAAATAGCCTTGTGTAAAGAAGCCTGTATTTTAGTTACATGGTAGTTTGGTTATCTTGTCTGAGGCCTTTCCTTATATTTCATTCCTTATCATTTTTTTCCCCCTGAAAGGATTAGAATTAAAAATTCTTTTAATGGAAAGGAAGAAGAAAATCTCATACAATCTTTCAGAGTCATAGGAATCACTTAGGAGAAAAGCTGAATATAAAAGAGGAAGGGTTGACAAACATAACATAGAAAGGCTTACTCGGGAAAAAGTGAAGACCAGCCGTACACAAAGCCAGGATCTCGGCTAAACCATAGCACGGCCATTATAAGGAAGAGGACCACAGTGATAATTTCCTGATACCTGTAAAAAAGTTTCATCCTTTCATTTATTTTCCCAGTCAGGACATTTGTAGAAACTCTGAGCTATTGTCAGGAGTAATCTTCCCAGAACACTAAACACTAAAAACTGGATGTGTCGATAATTTGAGAGAATCAGGGCAGTTAAAAAGGACTTTATTCTTCAGGGGGTCTTTCAGCTTCTTGTCATCCTACCTAGTAAATTTTAGTGAGAAAAATTATGTCTTTTAGTCATGTTGAGGCTAGCACTTACTTTCACAAAGGTTAGCACACTCAGGGCCCTTATCAAGTGTTATAAATACATTACAGACAATTATGTGATTTTTTTCTTTTTAATAAATATTTGCAGTATAAGCAGTGTGTGTGCACTCACATCAATCTTACCTTATTCGCCCAAGTTTCTTGTATTCTTGCTTAATCACATCAGCATAAGCCTTTTGTTCGACTGCCTGGGTCTTCCCACATTTAAACATCTTAAAACTGAAAAGAGTGATTAAGCCAGTTAAGGAAAGGACTCTCCTTTTATAGAATATATTTGTGTGAAAGCTTCATAAAATACACATCTCCCTGCTAATAACAGAAATCTGAACTTTTTGCCTCTACCTCCATCTCCTTCTTTGAATGCCTTGTCCCCTCTTTTCTGTTTTTGCCTGGTTTCCTCAATTTTCAATGCTTAATTTTTGTTCTATATTTTCCATGCCATCTCCCACTGATCTCTTCCTTTTCCAAGTCCTTTTGCACCATTAAATCTTTGCCAACTTCATTCACCTCCAATTTAACACTTTATTATGTACCTGATTATTATATATTTTAATATATTTATTATATATCTTGATTGTTAATTGTTGCACATGAGTGAGCTTTATCTCACTAGTTAGATAAATTATTTGAGGGCAGGAGCAGTGTCATAGATATTTTCTTTGGCTTGATTCATCAACTCAACAGCACCTTTGTCAAATGTATGAGACAGTTGGTTGTCAGACCCTTCGATTTTCACACGATGTGCTACACTCAATCTATACACTAGGGCAGGGGGGTCACACACACTGATCATGGACTTAGACTAAACTGGATCTATTCTTAGAACTAAAACCAACTCTATTATATTTTTTCTTCAAGTTTCTTCACCTCTTACATCCTGATAGCCTCCACTAGATAATTTTTCAACTTATTTCCAATAGTAACTACCAGTTTCTATTCTCCTTAGCTGCTTATTTTAGTGACCCTTTTCTCTGGTGACTAATTTTTCTGTCCTGAAGTCCAGGGTCTTCACAACTTTGAACAGTTTTTGTGTGAAGTACAGCTCTGCATCTAGATTTTTATTTTATTTTTTAAATCCCTGCAGAGGAAAAAACAAATGGGAAAATGCACAGATTCTTATGGATTATCTCTTGGAATATCTATGGGTAGCTCAGATTACATTATATGTAGGTATAAAAAGCACTTCTGAATATATAACCAAAGTAATTGAATTCTGGATCTTAAAGAGATCTGCCTGCACATGTTCACTGCAGCATTATTCACGATAGGCAAGGTATAGAAACAACTTAAACGTCCATCACAGACAAATGGATAAAAAAATGGATAAAAACAATGGATATTATTTAGACATAAAAGGGAATAAAGTACCTACAACATGGATGGACCTGGAGGACTTTATGCTAAAGTGAAATAAGCCAGACTTAGAGAAAGAAATACTGTGTGAATATAAGATAGTCAAACTCATAGAAGCAGAGAGTAAAAATAGTAATTGCCAGGGGAGGGGGGGGAGGGGAAAATGAAGGGTGTCATTCACAGGGTACAAAATTTCTGTTATGCAAAATAAGTAAGTTCTAGAATAGTACCTATGATTAACAATACTGTATTGTATACTTAAAATTTTGCTAAGGGGTAGATCTTATGCTAAGTGCTTTTACCACAAAGGAAAAAAAGAAAAGCAAAAGGGGCAGTGATGAATCATTTGGAAGTGATGAATAAGTTTATAGCATTGATATTAATGACGGTTTCATGGTTTATAATTATCTCCAAATACATCAAGTTTTGTATACTTTAAGTAGATAGAGCTCTTTCTATGTCAATCATACCTCAATAAAGCAGTATTTAAAAAGAATAAAGCAAGAGTGTTTTCTTCTGTAAAGTTGCTGGGATAAATATGGGTATTTATGTGGGAGTAAATAGGAAGACTGAGGTGGTGTGAAGGTAGCTCTCACACAAAGACACATTTATTTCTTTATTTATTTATTTCTTTATTTTCATATGACACTGTTATTCAAACTTGTTTGTACTATTATTGCTTTTGAAGGAGAATTTCCTCAGTTCTTAAGTCATCCATCCTACACATTCATAGTCACTCTACTGTACACACTCCAACCATGAACATAATTAGATGAATGTTGTAGTATTTAAGATCAATTAAATTACTGACTGGTTACAGTGTCAAAATTTTACCCCTTGTCACAACATAAATGCTATTATAAGAAACTAGTTCATGGATCTCCTTGTGAATCATCTGTAGAATGAAGAGTTAAAGAAAGGAATGAGTCTCCGTTCCCCATCCTGTAGACTGCACTTGTATTTTGTCTCTTTGGTTGGGGACCATAAATAGTTACATCAGAAGCCAAACTGGCGTTGCTATAAATAAAGGTTAACACCTTCATGAAGGAATTGATGAAGCATATGACAATGCATCAACCTCTCCATTAAAATAAGTTTGGTGGCACTGACAGATAAGCTTCTTCATCTTCAATATGTTGGGATCATTTATAATGTGAGAGTTAACTGTATTAACAGCCAACACACTAATCAGAATGTATGGTGGCCTGCCAAGGGAGTGGCTGATCATTTCTGTTTGTCGATCTAAAACCTCTAAAGGTGAACACCCTGACAGACTGAAAAAGACACCGAAAAATGAGCTAGTGTATGAAGCTGCGCAGTGTCCAACCAACAGTGGACAACAAGGGGACTATTTAAACATGCCACTGGTTGTGATTTATGGACTTTGCCTAATGTATGCACTTCACAAGACTTTTTTTTCCACATAAAGGACACATTTCAATACATCTTCTCTTTATCTTCATTTCTCCTTTTTAAATGGGGAGGCCATTTCCAAATAATGACAATGGTTGCATATGCATCTTATAAAGTCATTTACATGTAGAAAAAAACAAACAAAACCGCTGTGGGTCTGGGAGCAAATGCCTTCTCCATTGGTTTGGGTTTCTTGCCCCTGCAGCCTGCATTGCTACCTGTACAACTGAATAGACCCCCGAGGGCTTGGATTTCCAAGAAGGGGCATTTAGTATGCAGCTAGCCTCTCCCCACTGATGCCCACCTGCTGAAGTCAGTGACATTCCACACATTTGCTTCAGCAGGAGCACTGCCACACACTGCTCCCACAATCTGGACAAAATATATTTTTAAAAAATCATCAGTACCATTTTCCCACTACTAATAAAATTGCAGCAGTTTTGGAGAAAAATCAGGATGAGGAATGGAGAGACAAAAATATCAGTCCTTATGTGACTTGACTTGGAAAACTTGGGTGGGGGATGGAACAGCACCCGATCTCTGTATTTTGCTTTTCAAGGGAAGTACAAATAGCTGATGTCAGTCTTATCTGCTTGGTGGATAACATGCTGTTTTATTCATTAGTCCTTGAAATTATTTAAGTAAAACCTTATAAAAATGAACTTGAAATTGTTTAAATAAAGCCTTATGAAAATGAACTTGAATTGCTTTATTTTTCAGGGAAAAAAACCCTCAAGGTTTGACATACAGCCTTTTCCCCTTCCTTTTTCTGGAGTACTATTTTGTGTGGTGAATATATAATGCTACATTTTTGATTATTCTGTGGAGCCCTTCATAATTTTAAATACTGGCTGTCATTTAAGTCATCCATCATTGGTACTTATGAATCATCAAGTTCAGTCCCAGCCAAGGTAATGTTTGCAAATTCTCCTTGAATACATACATTTGACACTTTAGTGGCTCTTGCTATGTGTTTCTTACTTTGGCTTCAGTGTGTTCAACTTGGGCCCATATGTGTTAGAATTACAGCATTGGAAGTGATGTTACTAATTTCCCACTTAAATTCCATTGCTTTACAGTTGAAGATGCTGAGACTAAGAATGGATCAGGACTTGCAAAGGTCATTCATCTGGCTTGGAGACAACTTTGTCCCTGGTCTCCTGATTCTGAATCCAAAGTTCTTTGCACAGAGCACTCTCAGATCCTTATTTTTTCAATGACATATCTATTTTGGTGCTAGAATAAAACAGGAAGCCCTGCATGTTACAGTTTAAAGTACAGTAACTCAATAACCTGAGGAAATCCCCACATTAAACCAAGGGGAGGGGAAAACTTCCTAAAATTTAACTCTCATTATAATGAACTCCTTATGCTTTTCTGGCCTATTGGTATGATATTGGTTGAAGACTCAAAGGAAACCAAGATGGAGTTGCTCTCTGCAAACTCTCTTCCACAGCCAACGTTGGTTATATGGTACTCTAGACTATCCTTAAAATATGTATTCATACTTGTCAGTTTTGTGGGGAAGAGAAATGCAGAAATGCAGTTTCATGCAATAGGTGAAAGGGCACTGGAGAACTCAGAACCCATACACCTTCATTTACCTGATGAACACAGACAATTTACTTACTCCAATCCTAGGAAGAGCCATTGAAGCCAGATCCAGGACAAGAGTAGAATAATAACAGCAGCCGGGAAGGTAAGCAAAAACCATGATCCAAAGTTGATGCATCGACACTCAGGGTAGTGCCTGTGTGAAAACATGGGAAAGTGTTCACAGAAGGGGACAAATGGGGTCCTTTCCGATGGTTGGAGGGAAGGGGCAGTTCACCTCTCTCCTGTGCTACCAGCCAAAGGGAGATAGAGGGGGGATTCTCCATTAAGAATGGGAGTTAGTGTTTCTACTTATTTTTTGATTCTTAACTGCACAATTATTACTACTTCCCACAAAAATAACAGTGGGTATGTTATGATTTCTGTTTCCTGACTCAATCTGTAAGGATGTGCTTGTGAAAGAACCTGACACGGTACCTGTTACTCATTAAATGCACAAGAAATGGTATCCATGGGTGCGTGTGTTTTGTTGTTAGTGCTAAAATCATGAATGTCTGAGTGAGGAAAGACAAATAAGCAGACTTGTGAAATTTTACAGAATGTGGTCAAGGAAGGTGATATTTGAAATGAGATCTAAATGGCAAGAAGGATCCAGTAATGTAAATAACTGGGAAACAGTATTACAGACAGGAAATGGCAAGTACAAAGGCCCTGAGGTGGTTACAAACTTGGAATGTTCGAGGATTAGACAGAAGGCTAGTGTGGTAGTGAGCTAAGGTTACAATGACATGAAATAAAGTCCAAGAAGTAGCCAATAGGGGTCAGATCATATACAATCTTGTAGGCCATCAGAAGGAATTAGAATTTTAGTAGAAATGGGATTAGGAATAGTTGGAACATAATAAGAAATTAGTGACATGATTTAATTCAAAGTCCGTGTAAATTTGTCATTTACGTAAAACATGTTGGCTGAGTGAATTCTCACTGTTGAAGGGAACAAAAGTGGAAGCCAAGGTGTGACAGGCAGAATTCCAAGGTAAACCCCAAGATTCCTGCCCCTGGTGTACATGTCTTGTATAATCCTCTCCCCCTCTGTGTGTATAGAACTTGTGAATATGATATTTCATTCCTGTGATTAGGTTCTTTTATGGCAAAACTAAAGGGTCTGGTAGATGTAATAAAAGTCCCCATCAATTGATTCTGAGTTAATCAAAAGGAAGACTATCTTGGGTGGACATGGCTTAATCAAGTGAGCCCTTAAAAGAGATTTTCCTGCTGGCCTAAAGAAGTAAGCTTCTATGTTGTCAATGTAAGGGGTCATGTGGCAAGGATCTGGGGGTAGCTGGTAGTTGTTGAGAGGGACTACATGCCAGCAGTCAGCAAAAAACTGGGCACCTCAGTAATTCAACCACAGGGAACTGAATTCTGTCAACAACCTGAATGATCTTGTTAAGCTTCTGTGGTGATTACAAGCTCAGCTAACACCTCCCAGGCTGGTGAGATCTTGAGCAAAGGACACAGCTAAACTGTGCCTAGACTCTTGCCCTGACTCACAGAAATTATGAGATAATAAATTTGTGCTGTTTTAAGTCACTAAACTGATAGTAATTTGTAACATAGCAATAGAAGACCTAACAAAAATTCTGTGAGAAAAGCATTATATTTCCATTTTACATGAGAAGACACTGAGTCTCAGAAGGTTAATTGGTCAAGGTCACAGGCCATGCAGTGAATCTGGATTTTTAACCCAGGAGAAGTATTTAAAATACAACCTCTTTTCATTGAAGCATAGTGTCCTCAACTGAAGCTCCGAGGTGAAAGTAGAAAATTCCACATATATTGAAAAATACCCAGAGGCTAGAGTACAAACTTGATGTCTTAAGGACATTTTAAAACATTATAGAAATGATTGCTCCATAACACAGACATGCTTTGACCTAAAGCATATATGCCTGTCAATGTTGAAACAGAAAGACAGTGCTGCCATTGCAGATCTTATGCCCAACTACAAAATGATGAATAATTCTAATGAAACACAAAAACTGTCTCAAAAGAATGAATGTAGCTATGGAAATTTACAGCCTTGAAAAAGATTTGGGCATTGAGATCACTATAAGCTAGTGCCTGTGCTCATCACAGTCTTCTTGATTAGTGACTGTTTCGATTATTTCTGAGTCAAAGCCATTTTTCAGTTTTGTATATGTGTACTTCTAGAGGTTTCTTTTGAAATATTAACTACTAGTTATTTACAAGCCACACTTTCTAACAGCAATAACAGAAGTAGAAGCAGCAGCAACAACACTAGCATTATTGACAATTTCCTATGTCCCAGGCCATTTGCAAAGAGCCACACTTGCGTTGTGCCATTTAATCATCACAATTATGTTCTAAATTAGAGTTTTATCCCCATTTTACAGTTGAAAAAACTGATGTTCACAAAAGTTAAGCTAATATATGACAAGACTGAAATCTGAATCAAAGTCTCAGTCCAAACTCTGCAATATTTTTTCATTAGCATTTGATAGAGAAATTCTTTCTGAGAAATATATATTACTCATTTCTGCAGGGAAAAATCATGGTAACTTTTGAAGGTAGCTATTGCTAGGTAACTGGTTTACCTTTTCCCTCTGTAATTAGCCAAGAAGAGAGGTTAGGAATGTGGGCTATGAATTTCGGGCACCTATAAACTCATTTATTTTACCATTTGTTGTTTTGTGAACCTATAATAGTTATTAACACATAATCAGTAACAGTGACTATACTGATCATTGATAATACAACGTCCTTCCAAGCTGCTTTGTACACCCATGTACTTCACAGCTGACACCCACAAACTGAATAATATACTGTGATAATCAGCAAGCTATATAATTTACTTGTGATAAGCTTCCATTCTTAATCTGGTAGATTTGTTTTTTGTATTTAACTAATAGCTGCTGTATTTGTTAAATAATATTGATGCATCAAAGCTACTCTTGTGAAAACCATAATTGTCCCTAATAAGATTTCCCTCAATAACTTTAATATCAAAAAATTATTGAGTTATTTAGATGGTTCACAAGAGCAGTCAGCACTTTATTTATGCCTTGGAAGAGTTCATCTCAGCTAATATTTATTGACCTCCTACTTGTGCCCCTGGTGGGCTAAAAGAAGAGTAAGAATGAAAACTTTACCAGTTTGCAATCATCAGCGGTTGTGTATGTGGAAAGAAGAAAAGTTAATAGAAATGTGAATATCACTTATGATAAGAGGAGAGGGGAATGGCAACGTAGGAGGAACTGAACAGAGTTTCCAATGATATAGCATCCGCCCAAGTAGAGAAAGAACTTGGCAGGACTGTTGGGTCTTTCAATAATCAGAGTTGGAAGAAGTGGGTTAATTTTAGGGTGGTATTTTTTAACAATAGTGTTAGTAATGGAACAGATTGGGTGATAACTGGAAGAATTTTCCACTGTTGCAGTGTATAAGGATCAGGAAGAGAGCATTTTGAATTAGAATTTTGCCAACCTGCCCCACTCACATATGGTCTGTGAGGAAATGAGACTGAAGAGTGGAAAAGGTGCTGGGACTCAGGTCACCTCCCTTCACCTGCCACTTCCTCACTGACTAGTGATCATCACTTAAATGCTCTGAGCTTCAGGTTCTTCATGTGAGATGAGGGAGTTGTCGACATGATTTGAAATTTCTGTCTTCATGTGTTCTCTTCTTCCCCCACATTATTACTCAGGAGGCTAGGTCCTTCTTTTCCAAGACTAACATTTCTACTCTTGATTTTTAAAAAATAGTTATTTATTTTTCAATTACAGTTGGCATACAATGTTATATTAGTTTCAGGTGTACAAACCAGTGAGTGATTAGACATTTATATAATTTATGAAGTGATCACACTGGAATATCTAGTACCCATCTGGCACCATATATAGTCATTACAATATTATTGACTATATTCCTTATACTGTACATTACATCCCCGTGACTATTATGTAACTGCCAATTTGTACTTCTTAATCCCTTCAACGTTTTCACCAATCTCCCCCCCCTCCCCTCTGGCAACTATCAAAATGTTCTCTACAACTATGTCTATTCTTGTTTTTAATTCCATGCTGCTTCCACTGGACTCTTAGCCAATCAATATTATCTCTCTCTTTTTCTTCAAAACCTCACATATCAGTGTTTTTACTCTCTCCTTCCCCTGAGTATAAAACCAAATTGATATCTCACTCTCTGCCTCTGGTTATAGACCATCCTATTTCTTTTCTTCTTTTCTTTGTCAAACTTGAAAGAATCATTTAAACTAGCTGCCTTCCCCTCCCTACCATGAACTCTCTCCTTAACTCTCTTCAGCCTGAATTTTGCCTGATCCCCACTGTCCCACTGAACCTGCCCCATCAGAGGACACTGATGAGAACCAGAAGCCTTCTCAGCCATCGTGCTGCTTGACCCTCTCCCACCTGCATGCTCTTGGCTCACCCTCCACTTCCAAAATGGTCTTTTCCTTTGTCAAAATACCACATGCTCCTCATTCTCTACCTACCTTAATTAATTTTTCTCAACTTCTTTCTTATCAATATTTCATAAGGGTCTATCCATGTCTCAATTCTGACTTTTCTCTCCCTATGTGACCATTTGTATACTTAAGATTTTAATTTCTACATTTTTATATAGCTCCCACATTGATAACAAACTTGAACGATGAATTTGCAAATGGCTGCTGAAAATCTTGCTGATAGGCTCTAGCAGGCCATTTCAATACATCCAAACTGGAATTTATTAATTTCTCCCATAAACCTGCCATGTCTTCTTTAGAAGTTCATGGCAACACTATGTATCCAGCCATATTGGCAAAAATCCCCAGAGTTTCCCTAACCCATCTTTACCCTTAAATCTTTATACCTAATTACTCACCACATCTGACTGTACAGTGTTCTGAGTCTAAATCCTATCACTTCACAATTAGCCTTGTTCTGCCCCATCATTATTTGTCAGCACTTGGTAATAGACTTCTAACTAGTTTCCTGTCCCTAGATTCTTAAAATGCCAATCAATATGCACATTGCTATTCTAAACTGTGCAAAAAGATACACAGACTATTCTACTGTCTCCCTAAAAAAACTATTACAGAATTTTTGGTCTTTGATTTTATGAATTATTGACATTCACTTCTTCATAAACATGGTGTTTACCTCTTTTAAGATTGGATCATGTTGTAAGGACAAATTTTCTTTAGTAATCAAGGGGTGTTGCCACATCAAATAACAGCTAGAGCTACAGTCCTCTTGCAGGACACATGTTCGATTATGTTTCTAGGGAGCTAGTTTTTAGGGATACAAACTTTGGGGGTCTGACTGATCTTGGTCTGGTCCTCTCTCTCCTAAGCTGAACCTCAACTGTTTCAACTCTAATAAACATAACCAGCATTTAATGAACATGTGCTCTGTGGTCGGCACTCTTCTAAGTGCCATTTACTTTATGTAAAACACAGAACAACTCTCTAAGAGAGAGATTTTTTATTTTTTTTCTGGCAAAGTAACAGGCTTAAAGAGATTTTTCCAAGGTTATCTAGTTTGTAAATAGAAGAGCAGAAATTTGAATATAGACATTTTAACCTCAGAGCCCATGCTTTTAAATACCATTACAAACCATTTCCACATCAAGGATATATATAGGACATGTGTACACTAAATATATCTGGCAAGAGTTCAATATATGTCACTTTACCGTCTTCCCTGTATGTCAAAAAATAAATATTTTTATGTTTTAAAATTTTTAATGGTTTTCACATATGTATGTTTTGTCTAGACAGTTAGATGGAATTTTCCTTCTAGTAGGTTTTATTATTTTCATGCTTCAAAAGAATTCCAAACAGTGCCTTGCACATTGTGAGTTCTCAAAAAATGTTTGTTGATTGACAGTGTTTTATTTGCACTAAATAGCTTTCTCAGAATTCATTGTTCTTATTTTCTTTGTGTAAAAAAGAGAACAAAAACATTACATATGTATATATAAGTAATATAATTATATATTATATATGTAATAGATCAGATGGGTGGTTGAATGGATAAACAGATTGAAAGATGATAGGTGATAGATAGATAGATATAGATAGATAGATGATAGATAAGGTTTAGAAATTCATTATCTATTCTTTTCCTCTCATAGTTTATTTGTAAGATGGTACCTTTCTCTAAATGTCAATATTGGAAAATCATTGAATCTCAGGCACATGCACCCTTTGAAGCTGGGCAAGACCCAATTTATACAAAACAGTCATCGATATTGCTCAAAATGATGGCAAGCAGTGTCAAGAGGAAAAAGTGAAATTATTGTACTGGATTTGGAAATAAAGGGAAATTTCTCTCTAGCTCCAAACATCTGGACAAAAGAAAATTTTTTTCCTGCAGTTTTAAGTTTGTGAAACTTTTCCCAATGAAAGTGAATGCATTATTCTATTATTGCTTTGAGATGCTACTGTACTTTTTAGGGTCAATATTTAAGAAAAAGTTTATTAAAGACCTAGTTTGTTTAATAATAGCAATTATATTTTGTCACATAAGGTTATTTCCCCCATCTAATCTAATATTTTCTATCAAGAAGGGATACTTTGAGGGTTATTTTTTTTTCTAGTTTGAATATAATTCCTAATATTAAAATTTGAAGGAAAAAAATCACTAAATTGAAAGTACATTTTAGGCATTTTCTAAATGTAAAAAATATTTTGGCCAAATTCCCATGATGAGGAGAATTAGAAGATTAGACAATTAGGAAAAATAGTTACTGAAGCATTTTGCTCAAAATGCTACAGTGCTCTCAATCTGTCATTGCAAATGGATTAATGCATTCAAAGAGTCAAGGAACAGTTAACTAAAAGAAAGAAAATTTGGTTGGTACATTGTGCAAGAAAACAAAGACCAAGGGCAAACTCAATATGGATTCCTTGATGATATCAAGTAATTACATGGGAATAGTGGAAATCAGCAGTTCTTTAACATCAACATGGATAAAACAATAAAAATTTGGTCTAAATTTTAGAAAAAGAAATTTCCAGAAAGGACTAATGTGGAATCTCTTTCTTTAGGGAATTCATGACAAAGAATATAAATCTACTTTCAGAAAGGAACCAAGTACATTTCCTATCTTGAATTAGGCGATGCATTGAATAAATCAGCTCTGGCACTGTGAATTTCAGATGTCTCCCATTTACAAATCAAATGTCTTTCAAAAGTTCCTTTCTAAGTCTTCTTTGGAGTATACATGATGACTGTATACTCATAGAAACAAATAAGTACACGTGGAGGTCTGTGTTGTATGATCCCTAAACTGCTATACCAGTTTTCTTTGTATGAAAGTTCTCACTCTTCCCAAAACAGAGAGTGATATCTTTGAGTCTTGGATTTCTTGGAAAAACTACGCATGCACAACATTTTGAAAACAATTTTAGTAAGCTCATAGTCTGTGAATCTGCTTCTTAGAGTGTAGCTTTCCTGCCTCTGAACCTTAATTTTTCTGTAATAAGGACCTAAATCCTGATTCAGGGCATCCCAGTGTTGCCCAGCTTCTTGGAACTCTGACAATAATTTATACTATTAGTACTTGAAAATATAACTTGGGTGTAGAATAAGTTTGAGCTTTCACATAAAAGCATGGAACTTCAAACTATTGTTTCAATAGTTCTTACACAGTGCCAAGTATATTTACAGAGTTATCTCATTTAATACTCACAGTAATCATGTGAACTTTCCCTAGTTTAGATATGAAAAATTATGCCTTGGAGAGTAATGTACTCTTTTATTTTTCAAATTCACAAAGTAAGTGATTTAATATTATGGAATATTTAACCTAAATGTTCTGACTATATCCACAGATTCCCCATTTTCTGCAATGGAGTGATAACACAGTTCCAAACTTTTACTTAGGGTCATATGCCTGTCCTTAGAATACTTTATTACTGTCATTTCTTATAACTGCTTAATCCTTCAAATCTTTTTTTAATTCAAAGCCATGTCTTCTGTAATTAGTACCTCTACTTGGCATTCATCATTTAAATTCAAATGCCAGTTCCCAAACCTATATAAATTGTCCCATGCAAATAACCCTTTTTTGTTTCCTCTGACATTTGCAGTATTATTTGTAATTAAAAATATCTTCCCTGTTTGATTAGAATGGTCAGCTAGGAGTTATCTTTTCTGAACTGACCTGGAGAATCTGTAAGTACCTGTTAATTTACTATGTCTTACATATTTAACTCTCAGTAGAAGTGAAGGTTTCTAGACCTATGAATGTCCTGATGAAGAACAGAGTAGAGTTAACCCAATATAGCATCTCTGTCCCCAGAGTCTCTAAAGTAGGTTAGTTGTGTACTGTCCATTTATTAAGTCACCAATCCAATAATATTACTTACGAATTGAAATAATCAGCAAAAATCAAGTTGGTGGAGGTACCAGTGATCGTTGTCAGTCCACCAATGGTAGAAGAGTAAGTAATGCACAAACACATAAGCTTACACATCATGTGGTCCTTCTTTGTTCGATATGGGATTCCTGTGATGGTATTCTGTCCAACAAGAAAATGTACTATCAGAATAGCTCTATTTGTAGTCATGAAAAGCAGTAATAGCTTTGTTATGGACTGAATATTTGTGTCCGCCCAAATTTCATATGTTGAAGCCATACCCCACAGTGTGATGGTATTTGGAGATACAATCTTTGGGAGGTAATAAGGGTTAGATAAGATCATAACGGTGGGGCCCTGGTATGATAGGATTAGTGCTGTTATAAGAGGAGATAACAGAGAGCTTGATCTCTCTCCACCATATGAGAACACCGAGAAGGAGCCATCTGCAACCCACAGAGAGCCCTCATCAGACAAGGATCCCAGTGCACCCTGATCTTAAACATCTTTTTCCAGAAGTGTGAGAAATAAATTCATGTTGTCCAAGTCACCAGTCTATGGTATTTTGTCATGACAACCTAATAGTACATCATTATTCTTTCCATCAATAGAAATGTAACAATAAAAATATTTAACCTGAAACCACTGAAATATTTTACAAACATACTTTTACTCATTTGCTCATGCTTTCTTATTCCTAAACCAATGATTTCCTCCTTTATTCCCTTCTCACCATCACTCCCAAATCTTTCTGCTGTTTTTCTGCTGTTTTCTGATGAATTGGTAGTACATTGCAGTAAGTTCTTCAACCTCTTTTTGGAGTGTTTCCCTACCTTGGTGGCTGGATACCTATAACATGTTCATGAATAACCCTTCAAATATCCTGGTCTCAGAGATTTATTATTTTACCTCATTTCCAGAGACCTTCAACTCTGCTCTACTTCAGTCACTCTCTCCTCTAGTTCCACCCTGGACAGCAGCACATCCTCAAATGACTCGTTTGGAAATCACTATTTCTAAGGTGTTTTGTTTAAGAACAGGGCTTCCTATGGTGAAAGACAAAAGCAACTTCACCCTTTTTTCACCCATGGCCTATATAAACACACTCTTGTTGGTCTGATTTTTACTGTCCCTGAGGTGAAATCTGGAGCAGAATCTATAACTTTTTCTGGTCACTTTGTTTAATAAAGTCTTTCAATCACTTTTAGTAAAAAAGCAACCTCATTTGAATGGTTGAAATGACTAGTCCTCCATTTAATAGTGGTCTCAACTTTAAAATTAAACCTTCTCCCCTAGATCTGGCCTGCTTAACAGCCCATAGTTGGAAGGTTTGTGGCTTTGGTTTTCTCTCTCTCTTCTAGCTCCAATTCCTTCCACAGCTTGCTAGTGTCAGCATCTAAATCCTTCATATTTGAAGTGGCAAAGGATGAACAGGATCAGGAGAGGAACACTAAGGTTTAGGAGAGGTCTTACTGGATTAATGTAATTAAGATATGATATTAGTGCTCTTTAGGCTTGATGGGTGGTCAAAATGACTCCTATGTCTGATAGGTTCTTCTATGGATTCTTAAGACTTCTGTCACTCAAATAATAACATTAGAGTCATGTCCTTCCTTTGTAGGTGGTGTGTCTCTTCCACTTGGTTGCTTGTGACATGCTTGTGGTTTCTGCATGTGATGGTCCACCCACATCTCTTCATGCTGAAGTCAACTTGCCCTATCAAGAAGCTCTCTTGGGGAACGTTGCTTTTCAAATGTCACCAAATACCACTTCTCCCATATATTCCTGACATTTGGTCTATAGGAAATGGGCCCCTCTGCCCTGTTGACAGTAAAAGTGCAGCTGAAACACCATTAGGTAAGGAAATTCAGCCATGGACTTTCACTTTCAAATTTGTCAAGTGTGTATCAAATACTAGTCCATTGATCTCTTCTAAGTCTAGGGAACAGATTCTCAAGTCCTCCAAGTGGTGGTTTCTCTATCTTACCATCTTGAGGTAAGTGGGAGGCTCTTCCCTTCTCTCCCTGTTGGTGATACAGGTTAGAGGTGGTTTGGGAAATATTTCAACTTGCTCCAAAGGTAGATTATCTCTCAGCCTTCTCTCATTTCAACACTAAGTTTAAAAATCTAAAACTGATTTTTGGTCATTTCCTTTGCAAGCCCCGTGTAATTGCAATATGGGTATACTTATGGTATGTGTTTAATATTAGAGTTCTTTGGGGATAAAAAGATTCTCATTTTACCACCTTATTAACAAAAATGTCTGCTCCTTCCCAGCCGGTGCGGGTAAGCACTTAAGCATCGACCTATGATCCAGGAGATCTCTGTTCCACTCCTGGTCAGGGCACATGCCCACATTGCAGGCTTGACCCTCAGCAGGGGATGTGCAGGAGGCAGCTGATCAATGACTCTCTCTCTCTCATCATTGATGTTTCTATCTCTCTCTCCTGCTCTCTTCCACTCTCTGCAATCAATAAAAATATATATATTTTTAAAAAGAGGTCCGCTCCTTTACCACAGCTTCTTCCAACTTTGCTGTTGAATTACTTCTATCCCTTCTCTTCTTCAACTCTATTGGCAAGTCTAGGATATTGAAGCATCTAGTTATTCCCAGTAGGTTGGTCAACTTCCTTTACTATTCAGTTTAGATTCCATGGTACACCAATAAGGTAACTTTTTAAGCTTTTAAAACCAATTTATTGAAGTATAACTGACATGTAAAATGCTGTACATATTTAATATACACAACTTGATGAGTTTGGGAATGAAACCATTGCCACTATCAATAGCTTTCTTAACAGAATCCTAAACTCTCTTCCTTGTCTCTCTTTGAGTGGTAGTTATTTAGCAAAATTTCAGCTTTGGATCAGTCCAACCATTTACTTTCTCTGTGTCATGTCTGCCCTTAAGCAGTAAAATACTGTTGGCAACAATGACTCACCTAGCAGAGGAGACTGGGTTGCCAACATTCACAACCACAAACTTCAGCTGTGGTGTCCTGCTGCCTCTCTGTCCTATGTTTCTCTGATCCAGTTAATCTTTCTGTATTCACAAGGAAATTAAAAACCTTCCATATTCTCTTTGTACCTCCCTCTCAATGCTCCCCCTCACTCTTCACAGGTAGTTTTGCCTCCTATTCTACATGAAAAATAGAAGCCGGCAGACAGAGGTCTCGCTGTCAAATGCAGAAACCAATTTGTATCTGCCCTGCCTTTTCTACATACATAACAGAGTAAATGTCTCCTCTCCAACCTCCTATTTCTGGACCTCAATCCCTCAGGTCTTCTCGGACACCATATACAATAGGCCTTACTGGAATTTTCCCAACATTTAACAATTTTCAAGTTATCTTTACAAAGGGAAAAAAAAGCTTCTTAATCCTCCCCCCAGACTACTGCTTTAACTCACCTTCATTTTCACAGCTAAACTACTCAAAAAATTTGCATACTTTCACTATCTCCATTTTTTTAACCATTCCGATCTATTTTTTGTCTCCTCAACTGCCCAAAATGCACTTGCTATGATTATCAATAGCCTCCATATTATGAAACCCAATAGACACTTTTCTGTCTCAATTTCACAGACTTTTCAGCACCTAAAAGAGTTAATCACTCTTTTCTGCTGGAAACTCTTAGGGCTTCCATGACATCTCATCCTTGTGGTTTTTCCTCTACATCTCTGCCTGTTCCTCTCTCTCTTGCCAGTTTATTTTCCTTTATTCTTCCAAAACTGGAATTTCTTGAAACTCTGTCATGGGCACTTGTCCCTTCTCACAGTAAAATTTCTCCTTAGGAAACCTCACATATTTTCATTGTTTTAATGAATATAAATATATTAGACCACTAAACCCCTGTCATTAGTCCAGCCTTCCCCTTTTAAACCTAAATATCCAATATGCTGTTCAATATAATTTGAATGTCTTAAATAAAACCAATCCCAAAATGTTCAAAGCCAAACTCATTATTTCCTTTCCCAAATCTAGATCTTCTTCAGGATCACCTATGTATGATAATACCATCACCATGACCATAATTATAAACATTTATAGTGTGCTTAGTATGTAATAAACACTATTTTAAATTATAATTGAATACATGGTTTAATTCATGTTGTTCTTACAACACAATAAAGTCAGTAATGTTATTATCCCACTCTACACAGAAAGACATGAGACCCAGAGAGGTGTCTTGCCTGAGGTCACAGAGCCGGGAATGGCAGACTTAGACTGTGAATCCATGGAGAGCTCAGCCGCTGTTCGAGATTACTTGTCTCCCTTGAAATCAATCTCATCCTCATCCCACCAAGTTCTCTAAATTTTATCTACTTAAATATTTCTGGACTCTGCTCAGTTTTTCTCTCCCCATGACTGCATTGGTCTCAGCTGATATCATCTCTGGTTTGGGTTACTGCAATAGCCTCCCTATGGGCCTCATTGCATCATTTCTGGCCTATTTCAGATCTGCTTTACACACTACAGCCTTCTAAAAGAATCTAGATGTATTTAAGACATATACAAACAGGAAGATTACCCTGTTTAATTGCTGAATGTGACACCGCAACTGAAAGATCTTTTTGAGAAATCATGATAGGAAAAAGTTCCTACTCACTAAAAACCATCATGGATATGGGAATGGCACTTAGCATGACAGGGTCAGGTGCATTGAACTATAATTTGCCTTTCACTTTCTAATTAATTTAAAGGTTAGCTTCCAGGAGTATCTACCCTTTACCCCAAATTAATTTATAAATGTTTCCTTTGCCTTATATTTCCTAGATGGAAATGATTTGCATTCCACATTATAAGATTTTCCATTGAAAATTTGAAAACTAAGTGGTAAATAAATAAAACAGCAAAATAAGTTTATAAATTCTTATTAGCAAAACAAAGTGAAATTTAGGGTTTAAATATTATTTTACTATAGGAAAGACTTCAAAGACAAACCAGGAAGTGATGTATAATTTGGATATTATGAAGTTGATAATAAGAATGAAAACTTAAAGATGCAATGTGTATAAAATTTCTCATTGTCACATTAAAACTTCCAAAAATACAAAGAAAAAATTAATTTTATATACTAGCTTAATGGCAAATATATACATATATATGTATATATATACATATATACGTATACATACATACATATATACATATATACATATAT